GTCCTTTGGAATGCATCTGACCTGTAACACCTCACTATCCTTACACATCTTCATGAAGATAAAAAAAACCTGGTGCTTATTCTCTGCCCCCCGTTTTTAGTCGGTCCTGATTGAATTTCTTCACTGGCGGTTTTCTTTGGTGGTGTAGACAGGATGGCTGAATAAAAGACACGTTTCTCTGGGGAAATTAAGGACTGTGGGCCTCAGAGCTTCCAGAATAGAGGGAACCCTTAGCTTGTTTTTGTGTTTAAACTCTGCCTGCCCAGTGGCTGAGCTGGAACCTTGGTCTTCTCTGGCCTTCAGACTCAGACTGAAATGCTGGCTCTTCTTGAGTCTCCAGCCTGCCACCTGTTTTGTTTTGTTTTGTTTTCCTTCCCCAGCCTTACTGAGGTATAATGAACAAATAAAACTGTAAGATATTTAAAGTGTATGTGACAATTTGATATATGTATATATGTTTACTTGTGAAAGGATCTCTCCCCCACCTAGCACCTCAGTTTGTGTGTGTGTGTGTGTGTGTGTGAACATTTATGTTTTATACTCTCTTAGCAAATTTTAAAACTATACAGTACAGGTCACCATGTTACGTATTAAATCCTCAGACCTTGTTTATCTTACAGCTGAAAGTCTGTACCCTTTTACCAATCTCTATTTCTTTCCCCCCGCCCCCCCGTAACCACTTTTGTACTCTGTTTCTATGACTTCAGCTTAATTTTTTCTTCATGCCACATATAAATAATACTGTGTGGTATTTATCATTCTAAACCTTTGGCTTGTTGTTGAATGCTCCGTGGGCACTTCTGTTCTTCCTGTTGCTAAGGAGGGCATTCAGTTATCTGTGACTGTGTCAGGGGCTTTAATCTCTGGAAGGACCAACTGCTCAGATGGCCTCACTTTATAATGCTGATGCAACACGTGTTTACATTTGCATTATTTAATTTGGGTGACAGCTCTGCCGGCAGGAATGTGAGTACTCGTTAGGGAGCCAAATATGGGGTACAGATGCCACGGGGCATTTTTCTTAATCATATTTTATACACAGTTTTTGTGTTGCTGCTTGGGGCAGCTTGGATCTCTTGATAGGACAGCTATCACAGGCTCTAGATTGGGACCACCTAACTTCTGACTTACGCAGATTTTGAACTCTGGGCCCTAAAGATGAAGTAGGTCATTGATGCCCAGTGGGAGATTAGAGCATCTCAGTGAACATGACATCTGAGTATGCATGTGATCTGTGTCCTTGAAACACCACTGGGCTAACCTTGCAAGCATAAGCTATCTGCATTATTTTGTTAAAACCCGGTGAGTTTTGATCTCTGATTACTTAGGAATTTATAATACCTTTCAAAATTATGACTTAAAAGACAGAAAAAAGCATTTCATTTTAGCAGGAGAGTTGACCTGACTGCAAGATTCTACGTAAGTGCTGATACACTGCACTTCAACGTCTTAGGTTTCTAGGAACAAGGTTGCTTTTTGTATGTTATGTATGTATGTGTGTGTGTGTTTATTTAGAGAGAGCACGAGTGGGAGGGGAAGAGGGAGAGAGAGAATCTCAGGCAGACTCTGGGCCTAGCACAGAGCCCGATGTGGGGCTTGATCCCAGGACCCTGAGATCATGACCTGAGCCAAAACCAAGAGTCAGACACTTAACCTGAGTTACCCAGGTGCCCCAAGGTGGCTTTCTTGGGGATCTGCATCTCTTTATAAAGTAAGAATACTGCTCCCAATTATTTATTGCTAGTTGCAGATATAAAACTTGCGTGCTTATTGAAATAGTGTTTGATTCGGTGTGGTCTTTGTCCTTAATGTTGGAATTTTAATAGGTCAAGGGAGTCCTTCCAGCTTACACTGGCCATATTCGTATCTCATTTAAACCCAGACAATTAATGCCTGGTCCCAGCCTAAATTTCTCCTTTGAGCTCTAGTCTATTTGGTATCTTCCCTTGTGTACCTCACAGGTACCTCAAACTTTGCATGTCCAAAAGAGAATGTGCGTTCCCCCTGCCTTCCCAACACCCTCCACCCAAGCCTGTTCTTTCCTCCCTCACCTCCACTTGCTTAAACCAGACATCTTCGAGACCCTTCCTCCTCTCTCACCCCACACGTTTAACCCAAAAGCAAGTCTTGTCATTTCTAAATCTAAACTAGTGAAAATGATCCACTTCTCCCTGAGCCCTACTGTAATTTTTAGTCCAGACTTCTTGCAGCAACCCCCTCACTGATTTGCTGGGGTAGATCTGCCTCACCAGTCCATTTTCTGCATGTCAGCGTGATCATGGCACTGCTTTGCAGGGAGAGTAAAACCAAACTCATGATTTACAAAGCCCTGTGTAATCTGGCACCCTCACCTCCCATTAATGATTCCATTCTTCCCTTTGCTCATAACACTGTTAAGCCAGTCCTCTGGCTTCAATTTTCTTACTCAGGACCTTTGCACCTGCCATTCTCTCTCCCTGGAATGTTTGTTTCTCCCTCGATTCCTCACATGGCTGGCTCCTTATCCTTCAGGCTTTGGCTGAAATACTATCTCTTCAGAGCTTTCTCTGGCTGCCTTGTCTAAAATATTTGTGTTGGTTTCTTCATAGTATCTTATTTCTGTCACATCTGCTAGGATGGAAGCTACAGGAGGGCAGGAGGCATGTGGGATGTGTTAATTACTGTTTCTCTAGAACCTAGCCCACAGCCAGGACTTCAGTATTTGTTGGACAAGTAACTGTTCATTTACTCAATCCTCACCTCAAGTTCATACCCCAATTTAGAGATGAGGAAACCAAGGCTTAGAAAAGTTAGAAACTTACTAAATATCCTAGAGAGAATCTAAGACTCAGATCCAGGTTTGACTGACTTGAAGGCCTGTGCCCCTTACAACTTGGGCACATTTTATCTTATCTATTAAACTTGTACTGAAATACCAGAGTAAGTATAAAACACAGCAGGATTGGTGAATCTTGAGGTAACCTTGGACAAGTTCCAGGATTAGTTATTCAAGATCCCACATATCTTTTCCTTCCTGATGCTCCATGGGGTACACCAAAGAGAAAACCTTGAACCTAAAGTGTGGTTAAAAAAACCTTTAATGGGGCCTCTGGGTGGCTCAATCAGTTAAGCGTCTCTTTCAGCTCAGGTCATGATCCCAGGGTCCTGGGATCGAGTCCCGAATCAGGCTCCCTGCTCAGCTGGGAGCCTGCTTCTCCCTCTGCCTGCCACTCCCCCTGCTTGTGCTCGCTCTCTGACAAATAAATAAAATCTTAAAAAAAACCCCCACAAAACCCTTTAATAATCTACCTAATCAACTCTGGTGTCTATTAAACATACCATGGAATGCAGAGTTCTTGTAAAATCACTCTGGAACAAACTAGTATCTCTGATAGTTGTTTTTGTTTTTCAGTTTCATCAAAATCGTTCATCTCAGCACCCAAAACTGCTTTACCTCCTAAAGTAAAATTCAAAATTGGAAAAAAAAAAACCCCACAAAACCCAAAAAACCTTAACAGCTAATGCTAGACCCTTTAGAGAACATGGTAGTGACTACACACTGCCAATATTCACTAGGGCTATGAAAGAGATTTCCATCTCCTCCATCCATCCAAACTGCTTCGTGGATGGGTAAGAGCTAACCATATTGAATACTGGTGCTAAGCTATTCTAAATGCAAATATAAAACTTAAAAGCACACTTCGGTGTTGATGAGCGCATGTCATCCTCACAATGTTACATCTAGAGGATGTATCATTACCTTCACTTTACAGATGAGCAAGCTGGGACACAGGTTAAATAATGTGTCTTGGTCACACAGCTACTAAATGGTAGAAAGAGGATTCAAATCCAGACAGTTTGACTCTATAGCCCATTTCTTAATGGCTACACTAAACTTCTCCGAAAGCTGAACTTGAAAACAAATTATTTTAAATATTGGTAGAAAAGGGCAGTGAGAGGTGATAGGGTGACAGGCAGATTGTAGAAGAGGCAGGGGCCTTGGTTTGGTAATCCAGTTAGGGCATGGCCGGAAGGGGCTGGAGAACCTGCATGCCCTCCAGGCCCTCATTTTAAAGGGAGGTGCCTGACCTATAGTCTTAGTACAGGGCTGAGCCATGACTAGAATGGAGGTCAAAACTTCAGTATTCTTTACATTTACACCACGCACCATGCTCCTCTTTAGAAGCATATTATAAGGTCCTTTGGAAAACAGTCAATATGGCCAACTCTAATAGCAATACGGGATAAAAAGCTACCATTAGATCAGAAATCCCCAACTTAAGCAGGGAATAGTCTACTTTTGGCCACTGCAGAGTTTGTTTCATTGTTTATTATAAAAAGGAGAGGTAGTGGTAGAGGATAAGGATGGGCTGCCCTAGGGAAAAGGTTTTTACTGCAATGCCTTGCCTACCTGCCACATCAAATTGGACTAGAGACTGCCGACCACACTGGATGTCCAGAGCCAGCTGGAACATGCTCTGTATCACAGCTCAGATGCTTTATGGAATTAGTGGCTCGTAGACTCTGGAGTGAAAATGGTTAGAGTCAGGGTCACATTTATCACCATGGCAAGTCTAAACCTTGTGGAAACCAATTATGGGGCAGCAGAAATTTGGAATGGGAAGTCAGACTGCAGAGAGGAATGCCAGTTCCTAATTTAGCAATACTCAGTTTTAGTTAACAGGAGATCCAGCTACACTTTGTTCCCTGCCGGTGGCTATTTCTGAAACTCTTAGACTTACAACAAAGTACCCTCTTTTACTGATACTTTCAATGAGGGAAAACAAATTTTCCCAGTCCCCAGTATTTTCTGAAGGGCTGATTAAATTTCCTCTGCAACTTTTTTTCCTTAAACTTATAATGTCTAAGTTTAAAAATATTCAATCTGAATAGACACTATGACAATGACACTAGGATTTATCTCTCCCTCTTTCCCTCTCTCTCTCAAACACACAGGAAAAACATAGCAGATGCTTAATAGGTATTTGTTGAATAAACGAATAATAATTGTCTGGACAGTATAATTTAAAAAGGCTTTTCATTTCATATGTATTATCAGTGCTTCAATATAGAACATTTTGTAATGATTAGTGACATGTGGATACAAATGGTTTTTTTCAAACACTGAGTGCCAATATTTTCTGGCAAATACTGACTTTCACGGAACAGAATAACCAAATATAATACAATTTCAGGAGACAGTGATATTATCAGCATAATTCACCCCAATTACAAAAATGGCAACAGTTAAAATCATGCACATTATTTCACCATTTCATAAAACTTCTTTTTAAACTTATACAAACTTCCCCAGAGTAAAAAGTTTTCTCAAAAACCTCATGATAACATTACACTAAAAAATTCACTCTGGAAATGCAGGGAGTTATTTTTCAAATTTTGGCTTTACGATTTTCTTTTTCAATCTGTTAAAAAATAGAGTTGAGGAGTGTGTTGAGAGGTGGGAAAAAAAAGGAGCTTCCAGTTGCTGGATTCAATATGTCCAAAAATACCTTAGTAATGGAGAGAAAAAAACTTCAAGAGCAAGAACGCATTATAAATAGAAGTCTTTCAGCAAGATGAATAGGTGAGCAGTTCTTGCATCAATTGCACCCACAGGAGAGAGGTCTTCTTGAAGAATGCTTGTTTACAGAATCTTCTGTAAGATAGAGTTGGCTACATCCAATGATTCGTCTTTTACTAGAACAATGTCGTAAGAGTCCATGTACTTTTCTAAAAGCTCATCCACCTAAATCAACAACAAAAAATTACATGGATGCGCAGGAAGGAGAAGCAAATAGTTTCAGTGTGAATCTCATTGTTAGGTTTAATCTTTTGGGCAAAATGTAGCAAATTAAATTTACCTTCATAAAACCTTTGAAATGAAGAAATACTTTCAAACTTTGAAGACTCATGGACATAGAAATCATCCCACATGGTGGCTTTACTCCTAAAGTCATTTCTCTCTAGTCCAGTGGTTCTCAACTGGGGAGACTGTGCCCAAGCAACACCTGGCAACATTGGGGACATTTTTGACTCTCATGACTAAGGAGTGCTTCAGGTTTTTAGTGGGGAAAGGCCAGAGAAGCCACCCCAATACCGATGGCACACATATGAATCCTAAATCCCTTAACCACACCAAAGTATAGGGTTAAAGAGCAATCAAATGTCTCTAACTACTTTCTCACACACGTTTAATAACAAGCTCCCATTAAGCTCCATCCTTATTTTTCTTACAAGAAAATTAAATGACAGATCTATATACTTACTCTATCGTTTAGATATCCAATTTTCAGGATGTGTTCAACATTGGCTACTCCATCTGCCATTCTTATGTCCCCTTGGGAATCTCCCAACAGAATGATGTTGCTATTGTCTTTTAGTCGATTGAAATATTCTGTGTTCTTCAAGGCACCATCATGTTTGTTAAATACATGAATTAGTTCACCTTTAAATCCTTTCAGCACTCCCTATAAAAATATAAATCCTTTGAAACAAATAGGTTTCAAACTGCAAATTCTGTTTGTTCTATTTTCACATTCATGATAGGTAAGAAGGGCTCTGAGACGTTAATGACTTTCTAGAGACTACTTTAAATGTCAAACACAATGAGCTAAAAATCCAATTTTTACTTTTCATTTGTTTCCTAACTGGAGGTCCCATTTTCTGTATGTCATAATGTACTGTTTTGATTAGAAGAGTTTGTTCAAATAACGACAGTTCTAATTCACTTCTTTTTTTCCACCTATGGATATTGAGTCTTCAGAGTTGCTGCATTAAATTATGTTAAAAGAACTTTTCCTAATTTTAATATTGGTCTGTAGCTTGGGATACAAAAGTTTAAGAAAGAGGGCACCTGGGTGGCTCAGTTGGTTAAGCGACTGCCTTTGGCTCAGATCATGATCCCAGGGTCCTGGGATTGAGTCCCACATCAGGCTCCCTGCTCAGCGGGGGAGCCTGCTTCTCCCTCTCCCTCTGCCTGCCTGTCTGCCTACTTGTGACCTCTCTCTCTCTGTCAAATAAATAAATAAAATCTTAAAAAAAAAAAAGTTTAAGAAAGGTATATTATAACACTGGGAGTTGATAAGTTCCATAGTAGGCCTATTGAGTGACCTAATTTAATGAATATACATTAAATAAAAAACAATTGCATTTATATGATTAAAATATATTCAGATTTTAAAAGTAATTACGAAGAATGATTTGCTGTACTTACACTGTCATCAAAATCCATGAAGTTGGACACTACAGTGATGTTCGGGTGATAAACCCCAGCTTGATGGATTACCTCCTCTAGTATATCACCAATACCAGCCGAAAATATGAACACAGGGATACCGTATTCTTGGAGCTTATCAAAGAAATTCTCATACCCTTCCCTGAAAGATGGAGGTAGGAACTGATTGTTAAAGAGCAAGATATATCTCCTTTTCACCTAGAAAGAAAAAAGCAAAACATTTCTACCTAATTCCATAGCTCATTCGTATTCCCTTTTCAGAATACTGCCCAAGAGTGTGGTGATTGATGTCTATGACAATAGTAGTACAAGTTTTTCAAACAACAGTTAACTCTTTCCTTCCTGTTAATAAATTCTAATAGTACAGATTAGATGCTTTTAGACTCAAATTAAATATGGATATAAGCCTACAGTTCACAATCTACACCATTTAACAGCAAATAGTTAACCACATCTTGAAAAGCTTCACCCTGGGAAACCCATTTAGGGTGAGCTGGAGCACCTCCTGCTGGTCATCCTGCTCAACTACTTCCTCTTAGAAAACTGGAGGGGGGTGGGCAGGAACTGAGCTGCATTCTCTTTACATCTGGCATCTCTCCTACCTAAGGTTTAACAGCTGTTGGTCATGTTCTTAATCTAAGTTTCTCCCCTTTCTACTCTTCCTGGGCTACAGGCTAAGCTGCCTACAAAGGAATGAAATACTTACTAGCTGTCCTCACACTCTTTCTGACACTTAATGCTTTCCTCCTTAGAGGTAAATCACCTTAAAATGTAGCATCATCAAAAAAAAAGGCATCATCATATTTACCTAATGAGTTGAAAATTGTTAGAGGTGGTAAACCGTATTGAAAAGAAGCTTAAAAATTTTTATCTTATCATCTGTGTATTACAAATATTTTTATTATTTGCTAAATCATAGTCACTTTTCCTAGAGATAGTTTTCAAGGAAGTCTGAGAATTCAGAAAGTAGATTCATGTAACTTTATACACTTTGAGCAAAAATTTTTTTTTCAACTTGATTTATAAACATTCCTTTTATATTTCATGTCTTTTCAAAAGTATTCTGTTAAAAAAATTCAAAATTGTCCTGGTTTCATAAACTTCTAGAAAGGGAGAAAGAGAAAGAAAGAAAGAAAAAAAGAAAGAGAGAAAACAAACTTAAATCTCATAAGGTTCTTATTCCCTATACCAAGATGTAATATTCTAATTCTAAATTCCTTACCTCACCCTATTCTGTGATAGGTGGCATATTTTGGCTATGTTTTTATATGCAACATAGTTATATATTGTTTTAATAAAAACACACACTTGAATACATATATAAGTCTGTAGACAATTAACAGCAAACACACCCAAGAAACTTACTTGAGCATAACATCAGATTCTGCCACAATTTCTTTAAGTTTAGCTTTTGGTAAAGCTTGTTCAACAAGCAAACCATGTGATTTAGTATACCTGGAGTTTATGTACAAAGACAAAGAGAATATCAATTAAAGCAAATTAAAACTATCATCTTCATTAAAAAGCATTCTTCAGTGATAGATAATGCAGTGTTTCATTCATCATAATTTGGACTTAAATTTTAGAAATTTAAACTCATCACTAATGAATGTATATCCTAATGTCTCAAAATATAATAGAACATATTCTCACTGCATTTCCCAGTTCTCCCCAAAACCTCTTAGTTTAAATGTGTTAATAATAAAAAGATACGACGTGTAAACCTTTCCTCAGTCTACAGATAAGAGCTGAATCCAACCTGGGGAGGAATAATCACTTCTCTGATTACAAGAATTAGAGCAAAGTCATTTGTTTCACCTGTGTGTAGTCTAAATTGTCGTGAAATAGCTTAGTAGTGAAGGTGCTACCTAGTGTGCGAGAGAAAATCCTTGTTATAATTACATCAAAGCACCTATAATCACTACATCTCAGTCACAGACCTTTAGAACCTCTTTACCTGATACGCAGAAGCCCTGTGAGCCTCCTAAGTGACCCTCCACTCTGGGTCAGCTCCCATCATGTCAGTGAGCTCGTTCTGCCAGGGAAGCTTATATTATTCCTAGAAAATTCTAATTACTAGACAGTCCTTTCTTTCATCACGCTGATATCAGTCTTCTTAAAACTTCCAAGTCTGATTCGAGTTCTGCTTCCACAGGTATGTGGCCCAGGTCCAACTTTTCAACATTTCGTACCATACACATTAATTAAGTGTGCAAGGTATTCAGGTTAGGTCATAGGATAATGAAGATAAATAACATCACTCCTGGTCTCTTAAGATTCTAAAACCACAGTTGTTGCTTCTCAAATCGCAGCTTTCCCTATTCTGTGAAATCTTCCCCAAGTGGGATGGCTCCAGTTCCTGTGATTTTCTTTGTGGATTCCTCTGACACACTCTACAGAGCTGTCAACTTTCTCTTAATAACAGCATTCTCTCTGGACTCAGCACAATGCTTTCAGTGTGGTCTGCTTGGAAGGCTGTATTTCCATTAATGCAGCCAACGCTAAGGGTCCATTTCTCAGCAACTATGTCAACCTGCTGGCTCTAGCTCAGTTCAGAGTCAATTTAAATCCCAATTCTTTTTCTTCACACTTTCAGCCACATTTTGTCCATATACTTTAAAAAAAAATGCTTGTTTTTAATTTAAGGCTTAAGCGTAGGATTTTAAATTTATCTTCACTGACCTTCATCTTAAAAAAAAAAAACAGAACAAAACAAATTCTAGACTGTTAGAATGATTAGAAAATTATAGTTCATTTTGTTATATTTCATCACTGCTCTAGCTCATCGGATACTTTATGAATCTATTATATACACTAAAAGGGAAAAATAAGCCATTAGTTGTAACTGCAAAGTTATTTTATTATATTTTTAACCCTCCCATTGTCTGATACACACTTACCATTCTACCATATAGGGGTACTTCTCTTCTATGGTAAGAACAGGATCAATTTCAATAGCATAGTATTTTTCCTTTAGTTGCAGTAACTAGAAATAAATGAATAACTTAATCATGAGGATGACAGAGTTGTCATTAAGCTGCTGAGTTTTACAGAAAGCAAAACAATACAAACAAATGGTTTCCATAAACTGCTGTTAAAGATTAGATCATGAGTACTTGGCTAATGCATATATCAACTGAAGAGATCTTTGTTGATCTAGTTTATATGTAACAAAGTACTTTCAGGTCAGCAATTCAGTGAAACCGACTAATAATCAAATTATTACTACAAAAAACCCTTTCGTTCTCATATGGAAGTATTAAATTTGATTCATCTTTGGAGTCCTATGTTGTTAACATAGACACAGACAGATACATACTCAAGCAGAGAACTGAGGCAATTTCCTGGTCAATTTAAAGGAGCAAAACCTACACAAAACCAAAGTACTTTTGTTTTAATGTACAGCTAATGTAAGAACAGCAGAATATTTTGATAACCAATTAAAAGTTTTTTATGTAAATTTTGTTTTTGTTAAAAAGTTAATTTTTTCTTTAAAATAATGTTGAGAGTGTATAACCCACACAATAAAAGTAACATTTATTCAGTGTTTACTAGGTGCTAGGTATGGTTAGAAGCACTTTATATCCATTGTTTGTGTGAATGAACCTGAAAAAATTCTCAGGCAAAAGGAAGACTTTGAGTAACTCTGGATTACCGTTAGCGTTTACCTTTTTTCGACATTCATCTGTAACCAGCTTACTGTTGTCAATGACATCTGAAGAGTGAAAGCAAACTAGCATTAAAAGAAACATTCTGACTGATGCTACCACTACTTTAAATAACTTACTACTTTTCTTTTAAGTTTAAATGCCAAGTCCACCAAGCATGGTCATTACAACTTTTGGACTTAGTTCTATAGTACACATGCCATTGCTAGAGAACCTAATGGTTTTAAAATCTAAACTTTGGATCTAAAGCTTTTTTCCTACATTTGGGAGTACTTCATTAGGAATTCTCCAAAGAATTACTGGGCCAAAGGGTATGATTTCTAGTGGTTTTAATATAAAGTATCAAAATGAATTCTCAAATTCCATGTGCACCTCCAGTAAATGAGAGGCCTTATATCACTGCTTCTTTGTCAGGTTGAAGAGTATTATTTTTTTAAAACTCACTGCCAAGTTTGGAAAACAAAAAAGGTGTATTATCCTAGCAACGTATTTTAACTGGATATTTATTTAATTACTCTTTTACTTAATTTATATTATCAACAACAAAAAAATTCAGTAACGTTCTTAGAAAACCAGAGTGGTTGATAAATGCTGTTTCTATAGGTTAATCCAAAGTTTACGATCCATGTAAATATTTCTTCAATAGATAATGAACAGACCACATCGGAGAAAAATTTCAGAAGTCTTCATTCCTCTTGCAACCAAAACCACACTTGAAAATAGTCATTTATATAACGTGGGTGAAAAAAACAAATCCTCAAAATATAAGAAGAAAAAGGCAAGTCTTCTCATTTTCAATGTCCAAAAAGAAGAAGAAAAAAAAAAAACCCAGTCAATCTTATAGATCATATAGGTAAGAAAAGATCTTAAAATAAGAATTACTTTCATGAATTTGTTTACGAATGACACACTTACAATGACATGTTGGGCATCTTCTCCCTTCATAGGAAAATCTACTCAGTGTCATATCAAAGTCTGTTATTATCTGTAAAGAAAGGGGGAAAAGCATTATGGACCATACAGGCACTAAGGGCAGACACATACTGCACCCTTCCTAGAGGTATGGGACTGTGCTCAGTCCCTGACCTGCCCCCACCCCCACAGGTTATTCTCTCTGCATTGTGTGTTCTAATGTACCTCTCTATTGGGAACAGCAGCCTATCTCCTCCAACTGCAAATTCCTGTACTGATTAACCAGATTTTATTTGGTGGCAATGCTGGGGCACTTAGGGTATCGCCTTGTAGTTAAGTCCTGGGAATCACCTTAAGTACACAGTGATACCTTCAGTGCCCCAGCACTGTCACCAAATAAAATCTGATTAATCAGTATTAAAATTTGCAGGTGCAGGTGATTGGGCTACTATTCTTGATAGAGATAAAATGTCGCACAATTTCAACCCACCTGGTCAATGTACAAAAATGCAGTGGAGACAATTAAACTATATGAAGCTCTCAATTGCAAAGAAGGACATCCTGTCATATACTACAACATGGATGAACCTTGAGGGGACATTATGCTAAGTGAAATAAGCCACTTAGAGATGGACAAATTCTGCATGATTCCACTTAAGTGAGGTATTTAAATTAGTCAAACTCATAGAAGCAGAAAATAGAATGGTGGTTGTCAGTGGCTGGGGGTGGGGGGAGAAGGAAATGTGGGGTTGCTCTTCTATGGGTATAGAGTTTCAGTCATGCAAGATAAAGAAATTCTAGGAATCTGCTGTATAACAATTCACACAGAGTTAACAATACTGTACTGTACACTTAAACATTTATTAAGAGAACAGATTCATTATTACGTGTTTTTTACCGTAATTAAAAAAACATATGTCTACTGCGGGGCTTGAAATCACAACCCTGAGATCAAGGCCTGAGCTGAGATCAAGAGTCGGATGCTCACCTGACTGAGCCACCCAGGCGCCCCAAATTTGAATATTATTCTTAAAACGGTTTAATACTTAGGCACTTGCATTAGTTAGCTTGGAATTTAGTATTACTCAGATTTGAACAAAACATGAGATGAGTCCGCCTGAGCATTAAAAATAAAGACTTCTTGATAATTATTCACCTGAAGTTTGGCAGCTCCACCCTTAATAAGACCACAGATAATTTCTTCTACTCTTGCAGGGTTCTTAATCCGAACTGAACTTCTCTGGAATTCAGGCATCTAAAAAATAAACGGAAGTTAATTAACTATTTTTAATTCCTCTTTCCCCAGGTTCTTTTGATGCCAAGCAGAAGCTTATATTATTTTAAGATGTAAAAATGTTGAGGCATTATTTAAAAAAAAAAAAGCAAATCATATCAAATTACCATTTATACATATAGCATTTTTTGAAGCACATTAACAGTTTCTATCTCAAAGATTAAGACAAAATTATATTTGTAATATATTATCAAAAAGTATAATTCTCCTAATTATAAAAGTCATGCACGGTTATCACAGAAATAACAGAAAAAATATAAAAAAGAAAATAGACATGGCTTGGAATTCTACTACCTAAAGATAAACAAGTAAACATTTAAATTTATTTTCCATTTTTTTTTTTTTATGATTTTATTTATTTATTTGACAGAGAGAGACACAGCAAGAGAGGGAACACAAGCAGGGGGAGTGGGAGAGGGAGAAGCAGGCTTCCCGCCGAGCAGGGAGCCGGACGCGGGGCTCGATCCCAGGACTCCGGGATCATGACCTGAGCCGAAGGCAGGCGCCTAACGACTGAGCCACCCAGGTGCCCCTATTTTCCATTATTTTCATTTCTATGATTACAAACATGCCTGTTTATGCACATAGTTTATCTCATTCTCATATATTTTTTCATCTGGCTTTTTAAAATTAATTATTACTTCATATACTGTTATAAAAATGTTTTTAGCAGAATTCATTAATCAAAATAAAACCTTAGAGTGGAATGGGGACTATCTGAACTTCGTGATAAAGAGTTTTCTTATAAGATCTTTCTGCTTAAGGGGTGCCTGGGTGGCTCAGTCAGTCAAGCATCCGACTCCTGATTTCAGGTCAGGTCTTGATCTCAGGTTGTGAGTTCAAGCCCCGCACTGGGCTCCACACCAGGCATGGAGCCTACTTAAAAAAAAAACCAACCAACAAAAAAACTTTCTGCTTAAGATTTAGCTTACATTTATATTTACATTTAAAAAAATCTTAGCAGAAAGGTAACAAATGTTACATGATTATTCCCCTCAAGTGTACCTTTGTGCAGGTAATTAAAATATATTTTAAATATATTTAACTTGAAAAGGTGCTTCAAGGGCGCCTGGGTGGCTCAGTCGGTTGGGCGACTGCCTTCGGCTCGGGTCATGATCCTGGAGTCCCGGGATCGAGTCCCGCATCGGGCTCCCTGCTCGGCAGGGAGTCTGCTTCTCCCTCTGACCCTCTTCCCTCCCGTGCTGTCTCTCATTCTCTCTCTCAAATAAATAAAAAAAATATTTTTTTTAAAAAAAAGAAAAGGTGCTTCAAGATCTTTGTTCCTTTATCATACTATACGTAATACCAATAATCCCAAATAATTTCATTGCTCTTGGCATAAATGTTACAACAGATTTATTTCAGTTTAAGACAACTACTAAAAAGTATGAGACCATCAGCATAAGACTCTTGATCTCAGGATCGTGAGTTCAAGACCCATGTTGGGCATGGAGCCTACTTTTAAAAACAAACAAACAAACAAACAAACAAACAAAGGTATTACAACACCTGGGCTTAGGCAGCTACTAGGCTGGTTTATTCAGGATTTAGTGTTGCTCAACAATTTAATGTTAAATATTGTTTCTTTCTTCTACCCTATCACAGAGAAAACGAAACTGATCAGAGTAAAATGCACAGGCACAGTGTTCTTAGAGCATGTGTACAAGAAGACGGTGGGGGTGGATAGGAGATTAGAGGGCATATAGTAGCTCCACAGTATAAAAGGGCAGTAAGAGAACCTCAAATCAAGGTTCTATACTGGTTTGTACCCAGTAACCTTTATTTACTTTATATGCTATTATTCTGGGTATGTTACCAACAATATTAACATATTTCATGTGCATCACAGACATGATTATGGAAAATTCCCTAGACCTTATAGCTCTGCTCCAAGAGCATACGACCAGCTGAGTCTCTCAGGTCCTATGCTGTCTCTGCATAATAGACAAAATTAGAAAATCGGAAAAAGGCTAAACTGTTTTCCTAAGACTGAAAGATACATACAGGAAGGAGAAATGCTAACATTAAAATTTTCTCCACTAATGAAAGATGCTACAATACGCCTAATTTTAAAAAGCCATATTTAAATAGCATAGGATAACCTGCAATGCAACTAACTATCAAACAGTGATTCTTTTAACTTAACTGGACTTTAGAGGTGTCAACAGAATAATGGTTATCTAAATATTTATTTTACAGTGATTTTTCAATAGGTGAGAAAAGCAAATAGGCACTTATTCCTACATTCCTTTTCTTCATTCATTAATCCATTAATTTGCTTAACAAATATTTACCTGTATCTACTTTGTGTCAGACGCTAGATGCCAGGGATATGATGATTAGCAGTACTTACACCATTTTCCTGTTGAGTTTTAGAAACCGTTGCTGTTTTGGAATATCACTTCTATAGCTCCCCTACAAATACCTTAACTAGTAAGTTCATCTCCTAACAACTATATTCTGCTCTTACCTCTGCCTTAATTGGCAGATGCATAGTAGTCAGCATATGTTTGACTTAATAACTAACCCACTACTGAAAGCAACAGAAGATAAATGTCACTAACTATATTTTCACCAAGAAAATTAAACATTTTATTTTAGTATGTCCATACTGACAAAGATGTCCTGCCTCATGCAAATCACATCCTATAATACATTCAATTAAAAAAAACACCACCACCACCCAACACCCATATTTAAATAGGATAGGATAATCTCTTTCAGATAATGAATAGGAAAATAGTACCAAAGCAACTTCAGATAATGAATAGGAAAATAGTACCAAAGCCACTTCAAAGTAGGCTGGTTTCTGCTAGGTTAACAACTAATAGATTGGATTATAGTATCACTTAGGGCCTGAAAGACAACCAGAAGCTGGAGGAATTGATATCCCTGCTTCTGTGCAACAGCCATTCATTTTCAGATAAATAAGCAGTGAATACCCAAATAGCACCAGGGTGAAATCACAGTGATGAGAACAAATGAAAGAGCAGCAGAGAACACAATAGGAAAGAGGACACAAGTGTAAGAAATTTAAAAATGATAATTATATCTGCTTTGGGTTATAAGGTAATATACTTATACCCCCCGCCATGATACACATACAATGTCACCAAAGCATATCATAAATACTTCTCAGAAACTTGAGATATTGGGCATTTTACTCAAATATTTTAGAATGCAACCTAAGAAATATATTTTTAAAATACTACATGAAATATGTCAAAGAATGTCAGAATATCAGAATATTAAGAAGTATACTGCAGGAATATACATTCATCATACATCACATACTTTCATTACCTCCTCAAATCCCTTCTTCCATAATTCTTCTTGGACAAAACTACACCTGTTTGGTAGCACTTAAAATAATGATGCTTCAAGTCTGAAAGGCAAATTATTTTGAAATGTCCCAAAACTTTTCAACTTATAATTTTATGGTAAAAAAATAAGGGGATAAAAATGTCCATCATTTGCAAACAAAAGAAAACAAATTCATTTTATAAGGCACAATGTAAAATGCTGAAGGAGCAGTTTTCCTGACAAGAATCAGGGCATTTTGGTTGACTGGAGCCAAATCTGACTTAATGCTAAAGATGACTAACAAAAACCTAAAATACATGTATTCTGGCTATAGAATGAATTTGTACAGATGAAATGAAATTTGTACAGACCAATCAGTCTATTTCCATAATCGAAAAGCAATGAAGTTGATTTCAAAGTTACACAGTTTTATTCACAACTCTAGAGCAATATTTGATTATTTGATATTATCTTGCAGATACACTGAGACAAGATATAACAGAGTATCTGCATGGCATAGTCACAAAATTGTCCTTATGGTGTTTTACCTGTATTTCTCTGAAACTGGACCACATAAAAATTAGTTTAAATGACTTAAGGATCTTTGTCTGAAGTTCTCAGGGGAAATATTTTTTTTCCCAATGTTCATATTTGGTACAAGCAAAAGACTTCATTACTACTTTGGTACAAAGGAGTGGGCACTACAATTTTCATGTAACTACATAAAAAGTATAGATCCAAAGCCACCTATTCAGACTGGTATATTCATTCACATACATGGATCATTCTATGACTTATTTGGAAGACTACGCATTACTAAAGTGTAGCGATGGCCAGTTCCCCCTGTCTACCACATTTTTGGCCTCTCTCCACGTTAAGGGAGTGTAGGCCAAATTCATTCATTCAACATATAGTCATTAAGTGTAAGGCAGCTCTGTAAGAGATACAAATGTTTTAGTAAGATAAACATCTTAAACTCAAGGTGCATGTTCTCTAACATAGATTGTAATACAGGAGCCCGAATAAGTAATACATTGCTCAGACGCCCAGATGAAATACAAGAGGAACATAAGAGACTGTGATTACCTCTGCTGGGGCCAAAAGAGGAAGAGCCAACTGAGCTAGGCTTTCAAAGAGAAGTAGGATTTGTAGATGCTGAGATCATGAGCCAAACTGCAGGGTCTAATGTGGGGGGAAAAGAGAAATAGCTCTGTCTAGAACTTCACTGTGTGTGGGAGAGACAGAGAGAGGGGGGCAGGGGGGGAGGGAGAGAGTTTGTGTGTGTAAAGTGTGGAAAGAGATTTGGAGCCAGGTCATGAGAAGTTAAGGACAACATTCTAAGGAGCTGCCAACTTAAAAGATGTATCAACATTTTTAGAAAAGCAAACCCCAAGGTAAAAATTGTGCAACTTAATGCAATGATAGTAAAAAAAAATATATATATAAGTATGTATAATTTTTTGGCTGGTTTTCCTTCAACAGTCTCTTTGTGGGTTGACTACAGTGCTACTTACTTCCAAAGAAGACATGCTAGAGAGTTCTGGGACCCAGGTAACAACAATTTATATGGTAGGACATTCCTACATCACTTGTATTAATTTTGGTTAAAAAAAAAATCAACTCAAGCAAAAAAAAAAAAAAAGAAGAAGTTTTAGATTGACTTAATGTTACATATCAGAGACAAATTTCAATGCTAATCATGCAACAGAAGCAAAGGTCATGACGATGCAGTAGGCTGAACCAAATGAAACTGCCAATGTTGGACTATTCAACATACAAAAACACAGCAATTTCACATGCTCCATCCTAACAGCAGTAACTACACCAACGGCAGCTTAATCAGCACTTTGAGGCAGCCTTCACCTCCTGTCCCATGCTGGATGAGGACAGCTAAGCTGAACAAGAGGTTTATTAACTGTGACACAAAGCTGTTTTCATGCTAAGTCATGTTCTGGTTTATAGGCTCAAATGAAAAAAAAAAAAAACTAGAGAGAGGAAGAAAAAAATACAAGAGAAGAGGAAGAATGACAACAAAACAACAGAAAGAGAAGATATAAGGTGATCGTGGGGTAGCTGTCCTCTTTAAAAGAGAGGGAGAAACTGTGATTTTTTACAATTTTACCACTATGAATATGGAAAATGGATATAATTTTTTCCACACATACAAATGCTACTTACATAGTGAAAACACTAACATAACAGGGAATTAACATTTACTGAGTGCTTACTATGTTCTATTAGGCACTTTACATACTTTTCCATTAAATATGAATAAGAACATTCATTTATAAGATGAATAAGGTCTGAAAATCCAATGTATGTTATGGTGACTACAGTTTATAATACTCTATTATATAATCTGCTAAGAGTAGAACTTAAATGTTTTCCACCCCCCACTCCTTCCCCTGCCAAAAAAAGGGTAAATATGTGAGGTGATAGATGTGTTAACCACATGGGGAAGATGATTCACAATGTATATCAAATCTCAAATCATCACACTGTACACTTTAAATATCTCGCAATTTTGTCAATTATATCTCAATAAAGCTGGGAAAAATCTGAATAAAACAAGAGTTTGGTGGTTTCATACAATTCCTTAAAGGTGAGATTATTACCCTCATTCAAGGGTATCATAGCTCTTAAGGACTAAATTAACATCTGAAGCCAGCTCTGACTCCAAGGCCTATATTTTTTCTTCCTCAATCTAATGTCTATAATGCAATGAGCTTTACTGTTATATAAGAAGTTTTTTATTTAAAGACTTGTCATTTTAATTCAGAAGCTTAAAACATCTCGTGCTGTATAATTTAAGTGTGTTATTGCTGAGCAAGGAAAATTTAGCACAAAAAGGAATGGGATAACCATTTTATATGCTGAGAAACACTATAATTCACATTATATTTCAAGCAAAAAAAATTTTCTAAGGTAAGTTGAAATCCAATTCAACAAATAGTTGAGGTTCTATTGTGTATCAAACACTGTGAAGAAAGACCTGCATAAAGTTACAGTCCCATAATTAATGATCTGGTTAGAGACAGAGGTAAAAGTGGTGAAGATTCACCATTAATAAATGGAACTGGAAATACTCAAATACCCACCATTTTCACATGTACAGCAGAATCTTGATTAGGCATTTCTTGGTTATCCAATCTTCTGGATTTCCCCAGGTGATGTCACAGTAAAAGAGAGAGAAAAAAGGTACACGTGACATACATATATTTCAGGCTGTTCCTGTAGGTTAATGACATAGTAAGGTGGTACTTTTGGTTTGACTTAAATACCAAGTTACTGAAGGCACCTTTTCCTCTTTCCTAAGAAGCTCAGCAAAGATTTTCTCTATCTTACAAAGGTTGGAGTTAAAAATTTTGTATGAAAAGTTTGCAGCTCTCCTATAAGAATTTATATAGTGTTAGTAAGATTTGAATAAAGTTTATATTTGCAAGAAAATGTTTTATTACAAGAATATTTTATCAATACTTTCTCTACATATAAGAATGAAGTTTGTGGGAAAATTATGCATTGCTATTACTGAATCAATGGAGGAAGATATGAATAGAACATAAGGAGAAACATAATACACAAAAGTCAAGTTTATTCTTCAATTTTCCCATATTGAACTCTAATTTTGTGAAATGAGGCAACTACTATCTGAGTTAGTGTCTGGCCCAGAGTAAGTATGTGATAGTGTTAACTAAATGATAATTTTATGGGTTAGGGTGGAATTTATACATATCAATTTGTTAAGCTAAAAGAAATAGTTTTTATACTATCTCCTAATAAAATAAAATACCTCTTATCATTATTCTATCTTTTTTTTTTTCATTTTTACAGTATCAATCTTAGGGAAGATTACTTACTTTTGTTCCTCAATGACTTTACTTTTACTTCACACTAGGTAAGTAAAATTTTTTTTAACAAAAGCAGTATTTAAAAAGGGCAACTTTAACAAAAGGGAAAAAATCTGACTTTTCTTAAAATTTGGTCATCATAGGGGTACCTGGGTGGTGCAGTCAATTAAGCGACTGACTCTTGGTTTTGGCTCAGGTCGGGATCTCTGGGTTGTGAGACTGAACCCTTTAACAGGCTCTGTGATCAGTGTGGAGTCTGCTTAAGACTTTCCCTGCCCCTCCCCCTGCTCTCTCTCTAAAATAAATAATCTTAAAAAAGTTGGACATTATATCTGTGTTCTTTATAATTAAAATGTATTGTAGCAGCTACATAAAATTTTCTCAATTCTAAAATTCATTCCTCCCTCCTTCCATTTTAAATGCATAAAATTGGGAAATGTCTTATAAAAAGGTATTCCCCCCCACCTCAGAAAAGCTGTTAGTAAGTTAATGGTCTTATAATTGATGGCATCTTCAAGTTGAGTAAACAGTATTTCCAAATAGTAAGATACCTCCAATTTTTCACATCCAAAAAATAATATAGTACCTGCAGAAATATCTATTTATCTATCTATACACTCTATATAACTCATAAACACTTTGATCACTACCCCCAAAATGTAACTGTAATGGTAGTTTGAGGGTTAGTAATCTTTAGATGATTGTAGTCAAATTTAAGTAACCCTTCCTTTCTGCTGATCCTTGATCTTAAATAAAGAAGATTCCACAGAAGTTGCCTGCGAATCTCTTTCTTCATTTATAGAAACCAAAGCATACAATATGCTCATGGTTTTCCTTTGATGTTTAATATCTGAACAGGGTTCTATATTTCTCGGAAAGCACTATTTTAAACAAAATCATTTTATTAGCTTGAAAAAGAGGAAGGAGAATGTGGAAAAGTACCGTAGAGTTTATAAAACATTTGAAAAGCCCAAAGGAACACAGAATTCAAGCAGTGCAGAATACATTTTAATATCTGGGAATCTCAGCTCTTCTTGTCACACAGAGCCAGGCAGCGCAATTCCTGTTCCCCCCACCACCAAGTTTGGCTCATTTATGTAAAAAAAAGATAAGGGGAAAAAAGCCAGTGTCAGTAAGTAAAAAATAATTGTCTTTCTCATGGTCTCTACATATTTTATTTAAACAAAACACAAACAAAAACAGAGTCATCAGAAATTTGATAATGGCCAATTTTAGGACATTATTTTTGATAGGTAAACCTACTAGTTCATGGATTCTATGCAAATTTCAACTGAAGGTCCTTCATTCCTCCCGATCCTCACTGGCAATCTGACCAGAATGTATCCTTGTTCAGAGATAATATCACATAAAGTGATACTGTTGTCCCAATGTAAAAATCACCCCATTGTCTCTATAATTACAGAAGTGTCAAGAGTAAGGCATAAATGCCAGCATTCTGGCACTATTCTAAAGAAGACACTGAAAATTAGGGCAGGGTATTTTTAAACCAATCGGCTTGTAAACCTATACTTGGTATATAATGTTCTGGCTCACTTTGCCAGCAGTCATCTGTTGCAGATGCTTCAAGAGAAGAGCTGTTGGAAAAAACACATCAAGTGTAGAAGACACGTTCAAAAATAGAAAATACTAGCCTGGAAGTATGAACCCTCTTCATAGGAAGTTTTGAAGTTCTGAAGTCTTTTGAATTTTTAATGTCGACTAGAAAGTGTGGAAATCAGAAAATAATTACTCTGTGTGCTTTCACTATGAGGTTAGGGTCTCTGCTCTAACAGTGTTCATTACACAGAATATGTAGGACAAAGCTAAAGACTGAAGCAAGAGGTAAGAACTTCATTGGAATAGCACAAACTTGATAACTGAAGAGTTTTAGTGATTGTGATTATTTCCTTCTGAGATCATTAACTTTACCTTGAAAAGACAGTGACAAATCAATGACTGAAAATTCCTATGTCTACATGAAAAAATTTTACTTGCCTTTATACAAGTTTTAAAGTATCTGAATGCCAACTGAATATTTTTAAAGGCCCACTTAACTTTGTCTTATGGGAAAGTGAAAAAGATTAAGTTCATCAATATCATTGGCTTAAAAAGTTGTGATCCTGCTTCAGTTGTGATACTTGCAGAAACATTTACAGGACACAGCAATAAAGTAATGAAATTTTGAATGGTAAACTGTGTACTACTTACATAAGAAAAGGCACGCATTACTATAATATGGACAGAGTATCAGCAACAGTACTAAACTTCCAAATGAATCCATTTTTTGCTGCACTTTTCCAGCAACCTGTAATTACTGGTCTTAAGCTTACTTATGTTTTTAATAATGACACTTGGGTGATTAGCACAAGAAAAATCAAACATAAGTTTGTTATTTCAGTAGCATTGTACATCAGTTTCTTGGATCATTTAAATAATTCTCCCTAATTAGATTTTCAAGGCAGCAGTGAAAAAAAATATACAAACTGGAAAGTGAAACTTTCTTGATACAGATATGAGACAAAAATGAAACTGAATATTCTCAGGTCTTTCCTGAGCCTGTTGGGGGAAAGAGAAAACAAACTGAGGTGGGAAGGGAAGAGGAGACAGAAGAGAGGAAAAATAAATTTCAAAGGCTAGTTATTTAAAAATTGGCAATTTATACCAATTTTCTTAAATAGTAAAACTTGGCTTCTCAGTCAGAATTTTATGGATACTTAAGAAAATACATAATTTCAGAGCTCAGAATTTATTCATATATGCTCCTCACTCCCCATGGCCTTAATATCTAATAGCATTTTTCAAGCTGAGTAAACCAAGGCACATGGAAATTAAGTTATTTATACTGATTACCCTTAGCGCACTCTGAGTTCTGTCCTTGAATTTGTCCTAGAACAACAGCATAGGTGGTAAGCAATATCCAGAGATGCAGGGGCTTGGATACAGACTGCCAATAAAAACCAAGTAAACTGCTTTAAGAAATGGTCTGCTGCATTATCTAATTCTCCTGATTAAAAAAAACAAAAACAAAAAACAATTATAAAAAATAAGGTAAATCCAATTATTTAAAACTAAGTTAGCCACAACATTCTAGGGTTTTATAGCAATATATGCTTGAATCTTAATTCTCAATATACAATTTGTTATAAACCTTAAAGACTGTAAATCCAGCTTTTATCAATTCATAAAACATACCAATAGAATCCTATTCCATAATATCTTAGATAAAACAAGCACAAAATAAAAATTCATTATCTTTATTACTAGGCATAATATACGGTTCCTAGACCTGGGGACACAAAGCATGTGGCAATCAGCAAAACTGAGTCACAGAGCAACTAAATGAACAACAAAATCGGATCTTACAGTGCCTTTTTTTCCTTTGAAAAGAGATTTTTGAGGATACACTGCTTTTTCTCAACATGTACATGTGAAACATGAAGCTCTTAAAATTAGATGTTTTAAATTGTTATTTCGGAGACCCAAGACACTGCAAAGTTTTACATATTCATATCTTTGCAAACTGTAAAGTTTTACATTATACTGCTTTATTCTATTTTTATTTCCTTAATCTGTATTTTTAAATGCTTACAATTTCAACAAGAGACTGAACCAAATAAGAGTCTATAGATAAAGTTAAGCCAGAGAAACTAATTGGTTTACATGAACTGTACACACTTACCCTGAAGGTAACCGGACAAGCTACGCCAGCAAAAGAAAATTCTTCCTGTCTGAGAAGTACTAATATAGCACAAGGTGCAACTGAGGGCGGTTCCAAAAGCCTTGGCTAAGCTCTATGCAAAAGTGGTCTTGTGACGCATTAATACACAGTGCTTTATTATGCTCCGGGTGACACTTGCTAGCTCTGAGCTAACAGTCACCAGCCAGTCTACAGAAAATGATCAATTGAAAAAATGTGACAGTTAAGAGAAGGTAAATCTGCACTATTAGGGCTGGCAACTTGCTCTGCGAAGAAAAACGGAACCTCCATATTAACACTTAAAAATACTCCCTTCCTCATCCTGTTTTTTGGCTGTCAGTGTACTTGTGGTATGTGCATTTTTCTGTATGAATATTATATTTCAATACAAAGTAAAAAAAAAAGTAGGTCATGGTTGCTAGGAGCTGGGGGAGAGGAGAATGGGGAGCCACTGCTCAATGGGTACAAAGTTTCAGTTTGGAAAATGAAGAGTTCTGGAGATGGATGGGTGGATGGATGGGTTGCACAGTGTCAGTGTATTCAGGGCCACCAAACCATACACTTAAAAATAGTTAAAATGGCAAATTTTATGTTGTGTGTATTTTATCACAATTTTAAAAAGATTACCTCATTTAAGACACAGGAGAAAAGACATGATGCATGTAAGTGTGGTCACTAGAATGTTAAGAGCCTTTACTGCAGGGCACTGGGATTTAAGTGATTTTTATGTTTTTCTTCATATTGCCTAGACTGTAAAATTTATTTGCTAAAAAAATCTAAACATAAACGATGAAAACTCATTTTTAAGGTTAAAAAAATGAAAAAAAGTGATTCTCCTGTTGGAAATAAAAAGTCAAATTGTTATGAAGAAAAATATATATTTTTTAAAAGATTTTATTTATTTATTTGAGAGAGAGAGAATGAGAGACAGAGAGCACGAGAGGGAAGAGGGCAGAGGGAGAAGCAGACCCCCTGCTGAGCAGGGAGCCCGATGTGGGACTCGATCCCGGGACTCCAGGATCATGACCTGAGCCGAAGGCAGTCACTTAACCAACTGAGCCACCCAGGCGCCCAAGAAAAATATTTTTAACTTTTAAAGAGAACCAGGCTTGCTTTTAACCCGAGTAGCAGGACTGCAATCTGCTAATACCACATGTCAGGGCCTGATAGATAAGTTATGCTACGGGCCCTCTGGGAAGCTTTATCATTAGGAACAGGAGGAAGCTACACTTACGTAAATAAACTTTTATATCTGCCTTCTCTCTTCTTCTTCTTTTTTTTTTTTTTAAGATTTTATTTATTTATTTGAGAGAGAGAATGAGAGAGAGAGAGAGCACATGAGAGGGGGGAGGGTCAGAGGGAGAAGCAGACTCCCTGCCAAGCAGAGAGCCCGATGCGGGACTCGATCCTGGGACTCCAGGATCATGACCTGAGCCGAAGGCAGTCGCTTAACCAACTGAGCCACCCAGGCGCCCCATCTGCCTTCTCTCTTCTATGCTCAAGAGAAATCAAACCCACATAGCATTTCAGTAATCAAACTGTGAAGTAGCATGCTCTATTAAAAACAAAAAAAATTTTTTTAAATGATTTTTTAAAAAGATTTTATTCATTCATTTGTCAGAGAGAGAGAGAGAGAGAGAGAGTGCACAAGCACAGGCAGAGGGAGAAGCAGGCTCCCCGCTGAGCAAGGAGCCCGATGTGGGGCTCCATCCCAGGACCCTGGGATCATGACCCCAGCTAAAGGCAGATGCCTAACCGACTGAGCCACCCAGGTGTCCCTGTTTAAATGACTCTTTAAAAGGCCACTAACAAAGTATCCAAACTTGGTATCTACCAAAGGTTAAAATGGCACTGCTATCTTATTTTAATAAGATGAGAAGATTCGCAATGAAACATTCCTCTATGAGGAAAATCTTTTATATTTGACTAATGGAGGCTCAAGGGCTACCAAGTGATCCTTTTTGAAAATATTCCTGTATTATGTATGAATATGATGACTTAACTGTCCTGTAATATATGAATATAGGTAGCAATGGTAAGAATTTTAAAGATATCACTTAGACAGATGACTTAAGATTTAAGTCATTCTCAACAACAACAAAGGATGCTGGAGTCAGAGTTCTTTCTTGGAGGGCTATTTAGAGATCCTATTAAAAGCTTCAGAAATATACATTTCCCTTGACACACCAATTTTATATCCTAAGGATTTTAACCTAAGGAAATAAGGCAGTATACAAAGATTTAGTTGCAAAGATATATACTATAGACTTCTATAGACTTGTTTTTTTGTTTTTGTTTTTGTTTTAAATAGGCTCTACGCCCAGAGTGGAGCCCAACATGGAGCTCAAACTCATGACCCTGAGATCAAGACCTGAGCTGAGATCAAGAGTGGGATGGTCAACCGACTGAGCCACCGAGGCGCCCCATAGACTTGTTTTATAATACTGGGAAACTGTAAACAACCTAAATGCCCAATATCTAAATGTTCATTAACATAAGAGAAGTGAATACATTGTGGTATACACATAAAATATAAGATTACACAGTTCCCAAAAATGATTATTATAAATAGCTAAAATTTATTGTATGTTTACTGTGTGTTAGGTATTTCAAACACTTGACATACTTCATCTCATATAACACTCATAACCCCAGAAGGTATGTGCTATTATTATCCTCATTTTTCAACTGAAGAAATTAAGGCGGTAGCTGAGAAGTGGCAGAACTGGATTCAAACTCAGGTCTCTCTGACTTCAGAATCCATGCCTGTAAATCACTGGACCCTACGGCTCTGTAAGGCCGATATTTACAGATACACTCAGGTGTACATGATCTACAACTGAATGAGAGTATCTACAGCAAGAGTCCAATTTTTGGGCAAAATTCTTTATACAAGCATAGGAAAGTCTAAAATAGAATATATAAGATAGTATCAGATGGGATTAAGGGGCCATTTTTATTTCCTGAGTTTTATAAAATGAGTTCCTTGGGAAACAAAAAATAGCTTATTACAAATGTTACAGTAGTAGCATCAACCATGTCCATAATCAGAAAAGAAAATTAAAAAAAAAAAAGTACAACCGGAGCTAGTCAATATCATGGGTGGATTACTTGAAACAGTATTTCTACAGTGGAGACAGAACAAGGAATTAATCCAGTTGGCTCTAAAGCAAAACAAAATACAGCATGAAAAGAAAGATGGCTAGTATGTTATCAAGGGGGTGGAGGATGGCTTTGGCTCTGCTGGTGTTCTGCTCTGCTAGCCTAAGGAGAGAAGAGAGGAAAGAGGAGCATTGCTCCCTGCTTAGAGGGAACTTTTCCCACAAGATCAGTTCCACCCAGTGTGTATAAATGCATGGGGTGGGATGGGATGCCTGGTGGGCCGTCCCTCCAGGAGGGACTAACATTTTTCAAGCACTTTCTTAACTTGTCAGAATCTCAGAAGCATGCAATGGCCTTTTATACACTATGGGACCAAGGGCACGCTGCCCTAAGGTGGCTCACTTTATTTATTTTTTTTTAAATTTTATTTATTTATTTGAGAAAGAGCGCAGGAGTGGGGGTGGGGTGGGGTAGGGGGGAGAGGGAGAAGCAGACTCCCCGCTGAGGAGGGAGCCTAATGAGGGGCTCGATCCCAGGACCCTGAGATCATGACCTGAGCTGAAGGCAGACTCTTAACCGACTGAGCCATCCAGGTGCCCCAAGATGGCTCACTTTAGCATAAAGATTATTTTGAGTTAAAGGCAAGCAAGATCCTGCAGATTTAGGAAAAGCTCCTTACCCCCACTCTCCCACCCTCCACAACTGCGTAAAAAGAATGTAGATAAAGGTCCTGCTCCAGGAAGAGAGCTATCCCCAGAGATAACTACATTATGCTATGAATTAGGTATAGTGTGTGGAGAAGAACCTAGCAAACAAGGCCTCTTTGATCAAAGTCCTCTCTTTGTCCCACCATTTCCAAGTGACCTAACAAGTATCTGTTTACCAAACATTTACTTTTTCATTCTTTCTGAGGACTGCATTCCTTCCCTTTGAAGACCCAGACCCCTACACCCCCTTCTCCTTCGTTCAGAATGACATATACCTCATTTTGCCTGACAGTGTTTGGAATTTCTTTGTGCATTCCCCACATGTATGCTAGTAAGTTTGATTTTTCTCCTGTTAATCTGTCTCATGTCAATTTGATTCTTATTCTAGCTAGAAGGACCCTGAGGGGACAGGATATTCTTACTCCCCGACAATACATTCTATTTATTCCGTAAAGCCTTATGAGAAATATAATACTTCTCCCCTTTTTACTGGTAAGGAACCTAAGGTCTGGAGAAGTTACTTACTACTTATGTGACTTTTCTTCTTATTATATCATGCTGCTTCTAGACAATAATATACACATTATTTACATGAGAGGGCCAGAAATGTCTGTGAATAAGAATAATGTTTTGAAACTGTGCCAAGAAAAAAGAACAAGGACACAAATACAAGCAAAGTACTGAGTAAAAGAAATGAATTTTGTTTCAAATAGCTCTAAGCTACTGTGTTCTGTTTTGTTTTTGAAAGGGAATATAAAGGATTTAGAAGTAAGAAGATGTAAAGGGAGGCTTTTTTAGCAGCACAATGAACTGTGATCTCTGGACTCTGACAGGCTCCTGTTTGCCTTGGCGTTTCTTTACTCTTGGTCATACAAACAGAAATCACTCATAAAGCTCTGAAAGGAAAAGCTACACCTGCAACTGACATGCCAAAGAGCAGAGAAGTTCTCCTACAGGACTCACATCTTTGGAAGCTTTTTCTCCCCTTATAACACTGTAATTGGCTGTCTTTTATCAATGGAGAAAGAGATACCCATTTGTACTTCTGAGGAACGAGTTACAACGTTTTAGATACTGTCAATTATTCAACCAACTTGAAAAGCTAAAAATGACCACTTCATATTTTGCCA